AGACTGTGAGACTCCTATCTCCAATAAACCACCAGAAAACCGGAAGTGGCACTGTAGCTGAAGTGGTAGAGCGCTTGCCTTGAGCTGAAGAGCTGAGGGACAGCGCCCAGGCCCAGAGGTCAAGCCCCACGACCGACAAAAACAAACAAAAACAAAAAAAAAACAAAAAGCCCCGCAACCAACAAAAACAAAAGAGGCTGAAATCTGAGGGTTGGGATTCAAAGCCAGCTTGGCAAAAAAGTCTGTGAGACTCATCTCCAATTAACCACCAGACAACCAGAAGTGGCACTGTGGCTCAGAGTGGTAGAGTGCTAGCCTTCAGCAAAAAATGCTCAGGGACAGTGCCAAGGCCCTGATTTCAAGCCCCACAATAACAACAAAAAAATTATATTGGTTTATTCAGACATAACATACACCTGTAAACCCAGCACTTAGAAAGCTGAGGATTGGGAACTTAAGGCCAGCCATAGGGAGGCTTCGTCTAATTTTAAAAAAAAGTGTATTGGCCTGCTCCCGTCCTTCATCTTTCAAATTCTAACACCTTTATGAACGTAAACTTTCCCCATCATGTCTAAAAAGTAGAAAATGATCCTTTATATTTAGAATTATGGTATGTTTTAATATATTACTAGTGTGCTTTTCACCAGCAACCCATTCTTCTGGGTGTTTTTGCTTGATTCAGATAACAAAACAGGACACAAAAGTTGAGCTGGAGACTTATAAGCAGACCCGGCAAGGCCTGGACGAAATGTACAGTGATGTGTGGAAGCAGCTGAAGGAGGAGAAGAAAGTGAGGCAGGTGAGTGTGAGCCCTGTCTACTCAGGGAGAAGCCCTCTGTAGCCCAAGGATATGCTTAAACCTGCCGAGGTGGCGTACACAGAAGTTCATGAGTTTACAGTGACTATGAGTTGCAGTGTTCACATTATTCCACATGATCGCTTCTGTTTTGTTCCCATTTTTATTACCAACCTCTTTTAGAGGTTGCTAGGAGACCAGAGTCATGGTTCCTTTGATAATATCCCACTTTTCCATCAGAGCCTCTGGCCTATTTATTTCCACTCAGTGTGTGTGAGTGACCAGAGCTCTTCATGGGGGCTGGGAAGGGAGGCTGCTTGCCTTGCATGCATGAGGCCCTGGGTTCGATTCCTCAGCACCACATAAGCAGGAAAAAAAAAAAGCAGGAAGTAGTGCTGTGGCTCAAGTCGTAGAGCACTAGCCTTGAGCTTGAGAGTTGAGGGGCAGCGCCCAGGCTCAGAGTTCAGGCCCCATGACCGACAAAATCAAAACAAAACAGAGTTCTTCATGGAACTATGTTCTGTGCCTGCGTTTACTTCCTCCCTCCCTTGAATGACTGTGGGGGGGTCACATGTTCTGAGTTCCTCAAGACAGAATTGTTACCCTCAACCAGCAGACCACTCCAGCAAGTGTAACACCTCATCATCAGGTTCTCCCAGAACCAGGCACCAGCCCAGCATCCTTCCAGGGTCTGGTCACTGGGTTACAACATGGCTGCTAAAACACGAGGCTCACTCTGCAAGTCAGCTTTCTATTGACTTGACATACAGGACAAACCTTAATTGTACAGTAATGAAAGGGTGAAGCTTCAGGCAGACTATCCTTAGCCTCCAAACTTGTCCTCAAACCTCCAGGTTTGTCCTTAACCACTCCAACCCATTGTCAATCCCCCAAGCTCATCCTCAACACGCTCCCCCCAACCCATCATCCATTGTCAACACCCCAATCCTGTCCTCACCTGCCATTGTCTGAATCATTACCCAGAACAAGCTCGATGTGTACATTTGTATGCCCTGCTTATACACACATTTCCTTGTAAATATCCTCCAAAGGAGCTAGAAAAAGAACTGGAGTTACAAGTTGGGATGAAAACAGAAATGGAGATCGCCATGAAGTTACTGGAAAAAGACACCCACGAGAAGCAGGACACACTCGTTGCTCTGCGCCAGCAACTAGAAGAAGTGAAAGCCATTAATTTACAGATGTTCCACAAGGTTCAGGTGGGGGAGTGGCTTCATGTCTGTGTGGCAGTGTTCTTCCCTGCTGCTGCTTTCCATGTATTGTTGTTGTCTTAAGTCACTTGCCCAGTGAGCCAGGAGACAGATCTGTGAGCATCACAGACCTGTGTGTCAGACCTGAACCTCAGCCCTTTTGAATTTGACCACTTAATGATCGATTTATGTATTTACTTATTTATTTGTGAATGAAAGGATGGATGGATAGAGGGATGGATGAGGGAGACAAGATTTTGCTCTGTAGCCCAGACTAGCCTCTTCCTTTCTCAGCCTCCTGAGTATAGGATTATGGCATGTGCCATATTTATTGTATGTATTTTATTTGGTCCTTACAACAATATCTGAGAAATGGAGGAAAATGGGAGTAACAAGCGAGAACCAAGTGGCTAAATCCGGTGCCTCTGGGGATGCAGCTTAGTAGAGCTAGCAATGAGCCATTGCTATGTCTTTTGAACCCATGCCCAAATTGTGTCACACCTCCATGGTTTCCCTGCTGTTTTCCTCTTATTTCAGTGACTAATTGTGTACATCAACAGTTGGGAGAAGTAAAGACAGCATTTAACACTGTCTTTCCAGACTTGTCCTCACAGTCCCTGTGCTGAGTCTTCTGCTTGACTCTCCTGTGTTGTCATTTCAGATGGCCCACAGAGCCAGTCCTGTGCTGTCATTTCAGATGGCTCACAGAGCCAGTCTGAAAAACAGCACCTAAAACTTCTCATGCTTCCTTCCACAAGCCACCAGACTGCACCATTCTGGGTCCCTCACAAAACATTCTTTTGCAGGTTCTGCTTCCTTCTTATTGTCAAAACAGACATGGTTTGTTTTCCACAGACTAGTATCACTCTCCTTCCAGTTCTGTCTGTCCTTCCTGACAGATTGTAACTTCTGCGTCCTATTCAGTGTTATAGTCAATATGACAACCATACTGTCAACGACTGTTTCCTCCTTTTCCAAATCCTATGTGACTTTAATAGCAACAGTGAAAACTGAAGCACGACAAAACGAATTACAATTTGAATTTGCTCACTTTTTCTTCTTGTTTAGGTCTGTGTATAGAAGGCCAATTAGTGTGCTGTAACAATGTAGTAGTGTCTTTGAATATGGAGGCAGGAGCTGGGAATGTGGCTTAATGGTAGAGTGCTTGCCTAGCATGCATGAAGCCTGGGTTCAATTCCTCAGTACCACATAAACAGAAAAAGCCAGAAGTAGTGCTATGGCTCAAGTGGTAGAGTGCTATCCTTGAGCAAAGAAACTCAGGGACAGTGTTCTGAGTTCTGAGTTCAAGCCCCAGGACTGGCCAAAAAAAAAAAATATATATATATATATATACATATATATATATAGAGAGAGAGAGAGAGGCATATACATAATTGTATGTAGTACAACTGGCCCATGGGGTCCGCTGCAGTGCATATGACCAGGAAGCCAGCAGGCAGCTGTTCTCAGCATAGCCTGTCACATACAGCCAGCAGCAGAGAATGATAGAGTAGACACACACACAACACACAACTACCTTTGAGTGAAAGAGCTCAAGGACAGTGCCCAGGCTCTGAGTTCAAGCCCCATGACCGACCTAAAAAAAAAAATGTTTTTTAGCCAGACACCAGTGGCTCATACCTGTAATCCTAGCTACTCAGGAGGCTGAGATCCGAGGATCACAGTTGAAAGCCAGCCCAAGCAGGAAAGTTCATGAGACTCTTATAAACTACTAAGAAAAAGCTGGAAGTGACACTGTAGCTCAGGTGGTAAAACACTAGTCTTGAGCACAGAGAGGCTCAAGGACAGTGTCCAGGTCCTGAGTTCAAGCCCCTGGAGCAGCTCACACACACACACACACACACACACCTGGAGCAGCTCACACACACACACACACACACACACACGAAAATGTCCTGGCACCTAATGGCAGACTGTTTCTTTCACTCAGCCAGCTTCCCTGGCTCTGCCTTCTTCAGGCACTTCCCCCACCTCCCACCTTAGCAGTCCTGTGCCCAGGCCTCAGGGAGTGTGTCCTTGAAGACTAAACCCCTGTGGTGGCCATTGTTCATTCACAGCCGGGCATTGCTCAAGGCAGGTGTGTGGTTCTTTCAGGCACGGTTGGGTCCTGCTAGCCCTGTCTATTTCCTCCTCCTCCTTGTGTGCAAGTGACCCAGGTTCACTGACCACGGCTCTCCCACCTGCCTCTTTACTTTTTGTCCCATTAGTGTCTGTGTGTGGATCTGTGTCCCTGTCTGTCAGTAATGGCAGATCATCCAAAACAGTAGATTTAGATATGAGAGGCTTTTGTCTCAGGCCGGGTTTTTTTTTGTTGTTTGTTTATTTGTTTGTTTTTTTGAGCCTAGGGCTTCATGCATGCTAGTTATGTGCTACCACTGAGCCACGGGAGGTGTTTTCCTGGGGGCTTTATTACTGTTTTTTCTTCTTTTGTCACATATTACTGAGTCCAGAGCAAATGGCTCCTCCAACCCCAGGAGGCCCCAGCCCTACACCCTAGTCTGGCAGGCTTTGGCCTGGCACTGCGCCTCTATAAAACCTGCTCACATAGCAAACCGCCAACACACTAGCCACTCCCCTACTGTACCAGCAGCCCAGCATTCCTGATATCCAAGATTCAGTGAATCAGAGTTTTCCTTTGCCATAAGAAACAAGGACAGCCAGCTCTCTGCCTAGTCTACCTTGACAGCATCAAACCCACCTGCTAAGACCACAGCACACATATTAGACTTCCATTGTCTGCTCCTGCTCCAGTTGCGTGCACTTCATACCCTTCCTTCCCCTTTTAGCTATCGAGGCTTGAACTCATCATCATCCTCAATTTAACATGCACAGTAATAAAAATAATCTCCTTTGGCTAGGTGCCATGATTTATTCCAGTAATGCTTGCTGTTTAGTAGGAGATAGAGACTGAGGGAATCTCAGTTTATGGCCGACCCAAGAAAAAAGTTAGTGAGACCTCCATCTCAACAAAAAAAGCTGCCAGGCGCCAGTGGCTCATGCCTGTAATACTAGCTACTCAGGAGGCTAAGATCTGAGGATTGTGATTCAAAGCCAGCCTGGGGAAGAAAAGACCATGAGACTCTGATCTCCAATTAACCACCAGGAAATCAGGAGTGGTGCTGTGGCTCAAGTGGTAGAGCACTCGCCTTGAGCTGAGAAGCCCAAGGACAGCACTTAGGCTCAGAGTTCAAGACCCATGAGAGACAAAAAAAAAAAGCTGGGCATGGTGGTATGCACCTGTTGTCCCAGTTCTGTGGGAAGCTTATATTGAAGGAGCAAGTCCAGGCTGAACTTCGTTCCTCCTCACCTGAAAGTGAGTCTGTACCTCAAAAATAACTAAAGCAAAAGGGCTGGAGACATGGCTTAAGTGGCCGAATGCCTAACAAGTGCAAAGCCTTGTGTTCAAACTTCAGTACTGTCCAAAAAAGACTCTCACTTTCTTCTTCCTTTTTTTTTTACCTTCTCCCATTGACTTTACCATCGTCTCACATCCGTTTTTGTTTTTTAATATTTTTTCTTTCTAAATACCTGTATTGACACGTAAGAGTACCTTTTTAAGGTTTTTTTAAGATTTTTTTTCAGAGCAGACATGAGGATTCCTTGCTTTTTAGAATGCAGAGAGCAGTTTACAGCAGAAGACTGAAGCTATCACGAATTTTGAAGGAAAAAACAATCAAGTGATGTCCAACATGAAACAAATGGAAGAAAGGTAGTTACTTCCCCTGGCAAACAGTCCAACCCTTGAGGGCGGGGCATCCTTTGGGCCTGAGACCAACACAGCCCCTTCTGGAAGTACAGACCAATTCGGGTGGTGAGAGTCTTTCCCAGCAGAAGAGCTGGATGCAGTAGCTTTGCCCATGCAGTGTTTTGTTGAGCATCCTTTTGGCCACTACATCAAACTGTCCTCAACAGAAGCTGGGCAGTGAGTAGTATGTCATTCACATTTAAATATCAAGTCAAACCAGGATCCATTGGCTCATGCCTATAATCCTCACTACTCAGGGGGCTGAGATCTGAGAATAATGGTTCAGAGGCAGCCAGCCTGAGCAGAAAAGTTCATGAGATTCTTATCTCCAATAAACCATTCAGAAAAAGTCAGAAGTGGTGTTGTGGCTCAAATGGTAGAACACTAGCCTTGAGAACAAAGAGGCTCAAGGACAGTGCCCAGGCCCTGAGTTCAGGTCCTAGGACTGGCCTGAATGAAGGAATGAATATCAAGTCAGCAGTGGGTTAGAATAGAGTCCAAAAGTAGGTATACACACAACCAGCCCCCAGCTCTTTACAAAGGAGAAGGAACAATGTTAGTAATAGACGTTTAGCACTGTTTTAACATCACATGCCAGACAGAGCTTCAGCGAAACTAGAACTGTTAACCTGAAGTATAACACAAAAGCATCATCTGTAAGGGAACAACTTGGTAAAGAGACTCTTAAACTATTGTTCTGTGAAAGTCACAGTTAAGAGGGGGGGAAAAGGCAAATTTGAGCAAAAGCTTAATACCCTAGATAAAGCAGAAATGGCTGAGGGCATGGCTTTAATAGTAGAGTGCTTGCCTAGCAAGTATGAGATCTGGAGTTCAAAGCCAGTACCACCAGAAGGGCTATGAAATACACCTGAATCCCACTTGCCAGGAGGCAGAGGCAGAGGATCTTGAATTGGAGGCAGCAGGACTCAGTACTTGAGAAGTCCCAGGTACTTGAGAAGCTGAGGCCAGAGGATCACTTTAACCCATGAGATTGAAATCACCCCGTGCGACATAGTGAGAACCTGTCTCAGAATAACAAAGCTAGATGTCATGATACACACCTGTATTCCCTGCACTGAGACAGCTGAGAGTTCGAGCCAGTCTGGGCTACTAAGACTGTCTCAAAAACAGAAACAGTATTTTCCTTCATAGCCATCTCTCTGTCTCTGTCACTCTAGGTTACAGCACTCAGAACGGGCAAGACAGGGGGCCGAGGAGCGAAGCCACAAGCTGCAGCAGGAGCTTGGCGGCAGGGTCAGCGCCCTGCAGCTGCAGCTGGCCCAGCTACACGAGCAATGGTAGGGAGCCTTGGGAGGTGGCAGGGGGCAGCTGGGAGAACTGGAGGAGGGAAGGGCTGAGGGGGCAGCTAGAACCCCACCTCAGACTTCACCCCTGCAAAGCTAAGATAAGCTGTAGAGCCCATGTGCTAAATAAAGAACAAATGATCAATGAGACTGCAAGCCTCGGGGGTCCAGCCAGTGGCTGCCCACTCAGCCCTGGCCTTGACTACTTTGCTCACTACCCCTAATTCAGTATCTTCCCTTGCTGCTGGTGGCTGGAATTCTTGCTGTTAGCTCCATCTCTAACTCAGGAGAGGACTGTGCTGTGGTGTTTCCTTTCTCTCCGTTGGCATCTCCACCAGTCGTTTGCTCAGCGGTCCTGGTTTCTTACGGAGGGAGGCACAAGTGGGCCTGGCTGTTCACATGATCTCCTGCCTCCCGCACCGAAACTAACTCCAATTCATCTTGGGACAACAGCTCAAGTCTAGAGAAAGAGCTGAAATCAGAAAAAGAGCAAAGACAAGCTCTTCAGCGAGAATTACAACATGAAAAAGACTCCTCATCTCTTCTCCGAACAGAGCTACAGCAAGTAGAAGGATTAAAGAAGGTAAGCCAAGGCCCACTCCTGTGCTCTTCATGTGGGATCCCCACCACCCTCCAAAGTTTAGTTCTCAGCGCCTGTCCAAGGAAAGGCCAAGATCACCTTCAGAATGGAATGGTGGCCGGGCACCAGTGGCTCACTACTATAATCCTAGCTCCTCGGGAGGCTAAGATCTGAGGACCATGGTTTGAAGCCAGCTGGGGCAGGAAAGTCCATGAGACTCTTACCTCTAATTAATCACCAGAAAACTGGAAGTAGAACTGTGGCTTAAAGTGGTAGAGCACTAGCCTTGAGCAGAGCTCAGGGACAGTGCTGAGGCCCCAAGTTCAAGCCCCACAACCAACAAAAAAAAGGGGGACAAGGACAGCAGAGAGCGAGACTTGAGTGGTAAGCAAGGCACAACGTAAGACCTGCGCACAGAGCCCATGCAGGCACGGGCCCCTGCATTTGAAGGGGTCCCCAAACCAGCACTATGTAGAAAGGCCAGTGGTTTTTTTTGTTTTGTTTTGTTTTGTTTTTTTATGTTGTTGGTCATGGGTGCTGTCCCTGAGCTTTTGTGCTCAAAGCTAGCACTCTGTCATTTTGAGCCACAGATCCACTTCTGGTTTGGTGCAGGGTGGTTAATTGGAGATAAGAGTCTGATGGAGGCTGGGAAGGTGGCTCAGTGGTAGAGTGCTTGCCTTGCATTCATGAAGCCCTGAGTTTGATTCCTCAGCACCACATAAGCAGAAAAAGCCAGAAGTGGCACTGTGGTTCAAGTGGTAGAGTGGCTAGCCTTGAGCTGAAGAGCTGAGGGACAGCACCCAGGCCCAGAGTTCAGGCATGGACTTTCTTGCCCAGGGTTGGCTTTGAACCACAATCCTCAGATCCTCAGATCTCAGTCTCCTGAGTAGCTAGGATTACAGGTATGAGTCCACAGCACCTTGCCAAAGCCAATGCTTTCTAACCAACACCAGTGCATGCCTTCACCCCAGACGGTGGCTGGCCACTTAGTTCAGGTTCAGATCATCCCCAGAAAGTAGACTGACTGGGACTCCAATCAGCTCTAGAGTAAACCTGTCCTCCATTTCCCCCTGCCATTGCCTGCCTAGAAAATGTGGCCTAGATACTGCAGGCTTTAGAGAGTGAGCAAAGTGTGGTGCTATCCTGGCATCTCCATCTTCTAGGAGAACCAGGCCTCCCAGAAAATGCAGAGCAATCTGAAATCTCCCCCTACCTATAAAATCCCAGCAGTCTTCGCTGCCTGGCCTTTCTGGGGAAAGTGGGTTACAGACTGTTGTATCAAGTCTTCCTGCCTGCTCCCTTGGGAGACGATGTACCCAGGGCTCCAGGTTCCCCTGTCTGCTGTCACCAGCAGCCTCGCCAAGCCAAAACTGAGCTGTCCCTCCGGTGAGCAGGCTCAGACCAGTGCTTTGCAGTCTATGCCATGTGATGGTGTAGCTTCTGGTAGAAAGGGCGTCAAGCTGCTGGGAAGGGGAGGGGCTCCTCCAGAGCTCAGAGTGGGGAAGGGAGAAATAATGGGAGAGGACCTAGAAAGTTCTGCTTACTCACTGAACAGATCCCCACTCTACTCCAATTTAGAAGACTTCTATTTGAATTATACCCTTCTACCTCAGCACTTCCCAACCGAGCAGGCCTAACATCACCAGTAAGCCACGGGCTGCTTAGCACCCCAACAGAGGGTACAGCAGAGGTTGGGGGTGCTGAGCCTCACTGGTGTTCCCAGCATCCCAAAATGAATACTCAGCTGCTTTCTGTGTCTGTCTTGGCTTTCCCAGCCTTGCCAAGTATGCTGGCCCCAGGTACAGTCATCAGTGTTGTCCCTAGTGAGTTTCCTTCCATGCCTGGCTCCCCACACAGGCTCCCAGCCCTCCAGAGGTCTGGAACTCAGTCTTTATCATCCCTGGTCAGCCCTCTCCAAATCCGCCTCTGCAGTGCTGAACAGGAAGCCCCATCTTTTCAGGTGGCTGGTGTCTTCGGTAATTCTGTGTAAAGCTCTATTTTTGAGATAGCTGTTTCTAAAATGTGTATCTTTAATAGAAACTCACATAGGCAGGCCTTGTTTGTCCTATAGGGATAGCTAGTTTGGGTTTTGAGGTTTTTTGCGGGGAGGGACAGTACTGGAAGTTAAATATTCAGTGCCTCTCATACAGAGGTGCTCTACCACTTTAGCAATATCCCCAGACCTTTTTGCTTTAGTTATTTTTCAGGTAGGGTCTCAAGTGTTTTACCAGGATCAGCCTAGACTACATTCTTCCTGGTACATCTTCCACATAGTCTGGATGACAAATGTATGCTACCACACCCAGCTTTCTAGTTGAAGTAGGGCTTCATCTCTGCCTTTGAAATGGTGCCAAATCTCTACCTCCCCAGTAGGAGGGAGGACAGGCATGCGCTACCATTCCTGGCTTGGGGTAACTGGTTTTAATGTGCTTGATGAATGTAGCTGATCCCTGCCCCAAGCTGGGCACCCCTCTTAGGATGCTCACCTTCCAACTGTCCGTAATATACAAAAGAACCTTTCTGGGAGATGTTAATGTGGTAAATCTGCTTTTTGCTCTTACAGTGTGTTATAAGATCTACAGGTGTTGCAGGACTGTGTGTTAGATGTGTGGTTTATCTGTTTCAGGAGTTGCGGGACCTCCAAGAGGAGAAGGCAGAGTTACAGAAGGTCTGTGAGGAACAGGAACAAGCCCTCCAGGAAATGGGGTTGCACCTGAGCCAGTAAGAGCCAGTTCCCCACCTATACCTTCACATTCTGTGACCTCCTCTCTAGTCATCTGCCCACCTGTCAGCCGAAGCTATTTTCTGGTGGTAGAATGAAGCAGAGCCATGCAGAAAGTCTGACAGCTGGACAAGGGTGACCTCAGGAGGTCTGCAGTCAGGGAGATCAAAGTGTTGATATCTGCCAACTACATAGGGATGTTAGTAGTCAGACACAAGTTAATTTGTTGAGGGTAGGTAGAGAGAGAGAGAGAGAGAATCCCTTCCTCCCCCCAGTCCTGGGGCTTGAACTCAGGACCTGGGAAGTGTCCCTGAGCCTCTTTGTGCGCAAAGCTAGCATTTAGTGTTCTACTGTCTTCCGCAGCACCACTTCTGTCTTTTTCTGAGTAGCTTATTGGAGATAAGAGTTTCAACAGACTTTTCTGCCTGGGCTGGCTTTAAACTGCAATCTTCAGATCTCAGCCTCCTGAGTAGCTAGAATTACAGGCATGAGCCACTGGTACCTGGATGAGGATGTTGTTTTTTTAGTGAGCTGGCCCTCCTGTTCACTAACTTACCTAGACCCTGAGGGAAGCCATTGGTGATGAACCATTGCTGAGTGGTCCCTTGTCTCTCCTACAAGCCCATGCCAGATGCCAGACCCCTCCACCTCCCCCAGCTATGAGAAGTTTCTGGTTTCTCTATCTTGTATACCTCTGGGTGCTTTGTACATTGCTTCCCAGAGGTCTGTGTGGTCAGGCTGCCATCTTGACCTGTTTTGCCAAGTCCTGTCCATCTGGCAGCCTCTGATCCTATCAGTCCACCAGCTTATTTCTATAGGTCAACAATGAACAGCTGTCTGCTGACCTTAGTGAAGACCATATTTTCTAATCCCTTCTGTAGTCTGGCCTATATCTCCCAGAGACCTGCTTTTTTGATACTCAATCTGACATAATGGAAGTTTAGATGAATCTCAGCTTCTAGAAATGGCTCAGATGGGTCCCCTAATTGCCAATAAGTGTTTCACTTTACTTGATTCTATTCTGCTAAGTAAGTCCATGTCTAGTTGTACTACTTATATGAACACTAGTAGGATAGAGGCAGAATGAACAGCCATGGCCTCTGCCTGCCCCTTCGAGGCTGTGCGGACAAGAGCTCCAGCCAGGGAGAAGCCTAGAGATTGAGAAACTGAGGTTCCTGCTGGGGAGTATAGAGGTCACCCCACCCCTTGCAGGCATGTTATACTCAGGTATGGCTGTGCAGAGATGCCACAGACAGGACTTCTATGAGATTGTTCCATGAGATTCTGTGAGATCCTCCTCAACTTTTACACTGTATCAGCCACTTCCAAATCTCCTGCAGGCTACACATTGCTTTAGGGGCCACATTTGGTCCCAGGCTAGCCTCAGTCCTGGGCACACAGGAGCCAGTGTGCTGAAGTGACTCAGCTACACAAAGGTAGAAAACATTTGCCAGTGGCATGCTGGTATGTTCCTCTTCTTGGTTTCTGTCTCTCCCTGCTACAAAATGATATTTTATGTTCTTTTAGGTCCAAACTGAAGATGGAAGACATAAAGGAAGTAAACAAGGCACTCAAGGTACGGAGTTATTAACAGTCCCCATAAAGAAATCAGGGTGCACTACTGTGAGCCTGCTCATGTCCCCGTGGCCCATGTGCCGGGGTGGTGAGGTGCCGCCGTTCCCTGCCCCATGTTGAGATGCCATGGTGACAGGTGGGCATGGGGACAAGTGTGAGCTGGAATGTGGCTCTTCTGATTGATGTTCCTCTCCCATCCCATGTGGCTCAAAAGTGGGCCTGTATGAGCCAGGCACCATTGGCTCACGCCTGTAATCCTAGATACACAGGAGGCTGAGATCTAAGGTTCACAGTTCAAAGCCAGCCCAGGCAAGAAAATCCATGAGACTGTGTGTGTCTGTCTGTCTGTCTGTCTGTCTTTCGGTCATGGGGCTTGAACTCTGGGGCCTGGGCACTGTCCCTGCACTCTTCAGCTCAAGGCAAGTGCTCTACCACTTGAGCCTCAGCACCACTTCCGGTTTTCTAGTAGTTTATTGGAGATAAGAGTCTCATGGACTTTCCTGTCCGGTCTGGCTTTGAACTGTGATCCTCAGATCTCAGCCTCCTAAGTAGCTAGGATGACAGGCGTGAGCAACTGGTGTCTGGCTCCATGAGACTCTTATCTCCAGTTAACAACCAAAGCTGGAAGTGGAGCTGTGGCTTGAGAGGTAGAGTGAAAAAAAGTTAAAGGATGTCACCCAGGCTGTACCCTAAGTTCGGGCCCCAGTACTAGCACCAGGGGTGGAGGGGAAAGACCTAGATCATAAGCATGGTAAAGGAAGAAGAAAAAGATTACAGAAAAATGAGACTATTTTATTTTTTTATTGAGACCTTTCCCTCCAAGTAAAGGGCCAGAGATCAGAAAAGCCCCATGGCACAGTGCCCTGTGCCATTTCCAGGAACTGTTCATCCAATTCCTGAATTGAACCCTTTCTAGACCATTTAGGGAAGAACAGAATAACACATCACTGAAGAGCAGGAGCAAGCAAGGGACCCAGGAAGTGCTGCACTGGCCTGCCAGGGTGGCGAGGTGGCAGAGGAGGCAGAGGTCTGGGTCTGGGATGCCACCTGTTTGCAGGGCAGTGGCTCTGCAGCCTGGCTGGAGCACTGGCTGCTCATTGCACGGTGACCCACCTCTTTGCAAAGGCCTCTCTGACCCTCAGCTTCCGTCCTGCTTGGCGGCAGTGTGCTAACTGGCACCCCCTTGTGTCCTGCAAGACCTTAGCACCTCTGCTACCTGACTTTCCACGCAATGGCAGGTCAGTTCAGACAGCAGAGATAGCCACCCATCACAGCAACCAGGAACAGCTCAGACACCCGTGCCTCACCCATTCGATTTATCTCTAGCTGGGGTAGCTCAGTGCTGTAGCCCTGCCTTGCATGTCTGAGGTTGGGTTCATTCCCAGCACCATAAGGAAATAGGGACATATTTGGTCTCCCCTTGTAGATCAAAGCTCCTTGGAGATAAGTGCTATGAGCCCATCTTTGCATCCCCACCCACGCGGCAGTGTTTGTACCAGCTCCAGGGCCCAAAATGAGCGGAACTCGGAGGCCACACATGGAGCTCCCTGCTGTTCTGGATGAGCGCCCTGCATACACGTTAGCCACCCGGGCATCTGTTCTGACTCAGTCATGAGGATCAGTGTGTCTGCCTGATGCCCAGGGGCAGAGCTACCATACTTTTAACTTTCTGTACTACCCCTGCAGTCCCTAAGGCGGGATCAATCACATCCTTGTTTTTCTTGGGAAAAGCCGTCTGTCACAGCCTTGATGCTTCCCCTAGAAGGGTGAAAAGATTCCCCCAGGCCTCACACCCCCAGCTGCCTCCACATCTCCCTTCTGTGATCACAGTGGTTGGTCTGAGAAGGACATAGGGGAATTCCCCTATGAACTGGATGCTGAAAAGTCTAGAGGCTGGGACTCTGGCCAGTAGGCGGCAGTCAAGAGTCCTGCAAGCCCAGGCCAATAAAGCAGCTATGCCTCAAAAAGAAAACAGGTGTCACTGGGAAGGGACAATAGATGAGACCAGACAGATCATGACTGCTCACCGGGTGAGACAAAATGAAGTTCCAGGATGTTCTTTCCTCCTCAGGGCCACACTTGGCTGAAAGATGATGAAGCCACACACTGTAAGCAGTGTGAGAAGGAATTCTCCATATCCCGGAGGAAGGTAAGCCGGGGCTGCCTCACCCTGGAGTCTTCGCCCTGCTGGGATTTCTTCTCTGGCTCAGGCTGAGCTCTTAGACCAGGCACATTGCAGCACGGCATTGTGTGACTGCATTCATTGCTCTGTCCAGACAGTCTCCCTCCTTCCCTCGCAATCCCTCCCCCAAGCAGTGCGTCCTGTCCTTCACACCCACTTTCTCAAGGGCCTGGCCATCATTCAAATACAACACCGCCACCACTGCCGACACACCAGTCCTTTTGGCTTGCTCTAGGCAAATATAATGTACCAGAACCAAACTCTGGCTGATTGAGGCCAAAACAACCCCTGGGGAACAACAAGTCATCAAAATCTCACTGGTAGCCAGGCGCCAGTGGCTCACGCCTGCAATCCTAGCTACTCAGGAGGCTGAGCTCTGAGGATTGCGGTTCAAAGGCAGCCCAGACAGGAAAGTCTGTGAGACTCTTTTCTCCAGCTAGCCACCGAAAACCAGAAGTGGCGCTGTGGCTCAAGTGGAAGAGCACTTGCCCTGAGCTGAAGAGCTCAGGGACAGTGCCCAGGCCCAGAGTACAAGACCCACAACCGATTAAAAAAAAAAAAATCTCACTGGTGACCTGAGCAGAGAGCATCTGCCTGTCGTCTTAGCTTTTGAATTGTAGGCAGAGGATGCTGGGAGCCGAGGGGGTCACTGCAGCCTTCCCCCTTTCACCCCCAAACTCCAGGGCCTCACCTCTGCCTGCCCCCATCTACTGGGGGAGTTGTTGCAGGTGAGGGGGGGGGAGAAACCTGAGCTTCCAGCGAGGCAGGGCCTCGCCTGAACAGTCCAGCTCAAGAAGGGCTGACCTGAAAGTTTGGGAGCAGGAGTTGCCAAGGCTAATCAGGCCCAGCTCCATGTCCGTCACGTGCCCAAGGAACCAAACCCAACACAAGATGACACACCAGCTCCACCACCACGGGCCAGCTAGGCATCGCATCACTAGGAAACTAGATGAGGTGTCAGGGTGAGCCTGACTGCCTTTCTCTTGTCCTCTAGCACCACTGCCGCAGCTGTGGCCACATCTTCTGCAACACCTGCTCCAGCAATGAGCTGGCCCTGCCCTCCTACCCTAAGCCAGTGCGCGTGTGCGACAGCTGCCACACCTTGTTGCTCCAGCGCTGCTCATCCACCGCCTCCTGAGTTCCCAGCCGGCCCACCTGTCCTCAGGGCAGAGGGCAGCCCAGGGTACAGTGCCAAAATGGGTCTCAGGGGGCTACCAAGGGCTTGGGAACCCCAAGGCCCCTCATTTCCCCATAGAATCAAAAGGGAAGAATGAAATCTTTTCCTCTTGGGTGCTCTGGAAGATAGTAGGTGAAAAGTGGCAGCTGATCGCCTTCCCCGGGACTCCTGAAGAACCAGCTGCTGTAGACTCCTTGCTGCATTAAGAACTAATCTGTTTTGCAGCAGTTGGGATTAGTATGCAACTGCTTTACCCCACTCCTAATCTACCACCATCTTGATTTACGCAGTGCTTTAAGCCAAGTAGGTGACGGTGTGCCCGTATACTTCCATCTCAGATTTGCCATTCCATGACCTTGTGGCTCGCCTGTTGCCAGCCCTGCAATAAAATCCTTTTATTTTTCACTGTCTACAGATAGTGCCCTTGTGCCTATAGCGCGGAGCCTAGTAATGCTGAGCCAGGCTGAAGGCGGTTGTGGGTAGTGCCTGGGCTCTCAAGCCTGTCACCAAAGTCCAGATTGGGGTTGCATCCTAACAAAGCCATAGGAAAGAAAGTAAAACAAAATAAGCACAGCTAGGTGTAGTGCCAACACCACTGGGGTGCTAAGGCCAGCTTGAGCTACAAGACTGGTCTCAAAAACATAAGCTGAAGCCGGGCACTGGTGGCTCACGCCTGAAATCCTAGCTACTCAGGAGGCTAAGATCTGAGGATCACGGTTCAAAGTCAGCCTGGGCAGGAAAGTCCATGACTCTCTTATCTCCAATAAACCACTTGAAAACCAGAAGTGGCGCTGTGGCTAGCCTTGAGCTGAAGAGCACAGGGACAGTGTCCAGGCCCAGAGTTCAAGCCCCACAACCAACCAAAAAACAAAAACAAAAAAACTTAAGCTGAAAGCACTTTCTGATCATAACTGACTGACTTAAATGTGTTCAAAATACTTAACATTAGCTTTCAGATAGACAAAAATGACTCAACACAAAGCTTATTGTGTAAGAAGTTATCTCACATATATTGTAAACTAGAGTGATCTTCATTAGTTGATCTTCATTAGTCAGGACTACCTATGTAAATGGGAATTTGTGAAGATACCTGTTGAAAAGCACCTGCCAGGGCGGGCTCTTTGTAGGCTGTTTGTGAGCCCACTGAAGTACACACCCACCCCAATCCCAGTGCATACAGCCAGATAACCTGGGGCTTACGAGGCTAGGAGTATTTTTGCTTGCCATGTCCAGACAGCAAGACAAATCTGCCAGGCTGTTCCATCGTTTTAGATTGACACCCTGCCCACAGCCCTCATCTTCCACCAGTTCCCTACCCTAATTAGATCCACATGCTCTCAACCGAAGCCAGATTCCAGCCAGCCTTGAGAGTGCCTTGGGAGGCAGACATTGGAATAGGCCAGGCCAAGCATGCACAAGACCCCATTCTCTCAACAGATAGTGAAGCTATCGCTGCATGGGAGGTGGAGATTGGAATGAAGTTCAGGGCCAGCCCAGATAGAAAGGTGACTTCATCTCAACATAAAGAAGCTGGGCCTGGTGGCACACTCTGTCATCCCATTTATGACTTCCTCTCCTAGCAGCTCACAGTCCAGGCTTGTATTCCAGCAGAAATAACCAGGGCAAGTCAAGCTTGTAACCCTAGATACTCAGGAGGCTGAGTTGGAGGATTCAGGTCCAAAGCCAGGTAGGCAGGAAGTCTGATTTCTATCTCCAAACTAGCAGAGCTGGAGACATGACTCAAGTCACAGAGCAACTACCTCCTCCAAAAATACAAAACACTGTTCTAAGCTGCAAGTTTTCAACCTTTTAAGAGCAGGGACACAGTGGGCAAAAAAGGATCCAAAGCGCCTGTATCTGAAAAATAGCTAAAGCAAAAAGGAAGGGCTGACAGCAGAACTCAAGTGGCAGTACCACCAAAAAAAAAAAAAAAAGCACACAATACATTTCCCACTACTATCCCTGCCTGCCATGTTAAGTGCTATTCCAAGCTTCCTTTCCCTCAAGTAGCAGAAGTCCCACAGTACTTAAGCATAAACATGCTTAAAACATAAAAAGCAGGAAAGTTTGACTGGTGAGATCCGAAGTGCTCAGGAACAGACATGTTAAATTATAACCCACATGTTAAATTATAACCCACTTATAGACTTCTTTAAAGGTGTGGGTCCTTTTAGATAGGTCAGGACTGGGTTTAAAATAGATAGGTAGAGCCAAGCATGCAGGAAGGTCTGAGTTAAGATTTCTGGCACAGTGCTCAGTTAAGAACCAAAAGCATCCTTTTGCAGAAACCAGCTTAAGAATGATCTCCAGCATGGTCAGGTTAGCACACTTGGAAGGCTAACACCACTGCTTAAGTTCTTTTGTGTTCTAATTTCATCATCCATGAGTCTAGACAAATGAGTGGCAGGTTTCAATGTATTGCCCTAAAAAGATTGACTGACGGGCATTTCTGGTACCTGAACCTGCTATAATTCGTCCTGTGAATGAAAATTTTTGCTAATAAACATCCTATGGTCCAATGCCTCAAAGCATTTCAATGAGGCTAACTAGTCATATTCCTTAGAAATGCTGTGCTTTCAGCCTTGGTTGTAAAGGACATTTTTGTTTCTAAGTAGACTTGGCTTTTAGAAATGAATTTTATAAAGCTCAAAGTCTCAATCCTAGGCCCTGTAATCCTAGCTACTCAGGAGGCTGAGATCTGAGGATCACAGTTCAAAGCCAGTCCAAGGAGCAAAGTCCACAACTCTTTGGACTCTTTACCTAATATTACTAAAAAGCTGAAAATGGCGCTGTGGCACAGCAATAGATAGCATTATAGCCTTGAGTCCAAAAGCTCAGCGACAGTGCCCAGGTCCTGAGTTCAAGCTCCAGAACCAGTGTGCCCACACACACCTCAATTCTAAGGCTTTAGTAGAGCACTTGAGTTCAAACCTGGATACCACCTAGCACAGACAACATCCTGGGTTGGGGAAGGAACCCATTAGCAACTAAAAATATCCCCTATAAACAAAATTCAGATTCTACCATCAGACTGGGAAGAGCAGCATCTTCTACCCACCCCCTTGCCTCCAGCATTTCTCAGCAGTCATGCCTAAGGCTCCTGGACATGCAAGCACCTCCCCTTTGCTTGTGCACATGCTGAGCACATTACATGCAGGCAGTTCAGACCAAACTAATGCACAGCCAGTCCAGTCCTTAAGGACCCTGAGGCAAATTACCTGCAAGTCACATGGACAGCAGCCTCAACTGCAGAACCTTCTGGCCACAGCCAGACACATGGACCTACACCCAGATGGGGGACAGCACATGACGCTGAAGCACAGACAAGACAAAATGCACTTTTGAAAAGGAAGATTTATTTGACAAGTTTCACTTAGCGCAATACACCTAAAAGGAAATCACAATACAATGAAAGATTTAAGTTGAGGCCTCAGAATTCCAAACAAACACCAAGACCAAAATCCTAAATATTGGTACTGTGTCTCAATTTCCCAATTAACTTAAAAAAGCTTTAAACTCACGTGCCTTACAGCTTATCAAATGAAACTAGAATTAACAAACATGCCAAATGTTTCACTTTTAATTGTAGACACAGCTTCTATATTGAGTTTTACAAAAAAGCATGTCTTTCAACATGCATGCAAACAGTGTTCAAGGTAATGTGGTATAAGAGCAACATTTAACATAATTCAACTGCTTTAACCTAAATACGCTTACTGTTTAAGTACATCCTACAATATAACTAGAGAAAAGCTGAAAGTTGTTTAACAGGTAATAGTTTACTCAACTTTTGTTGTTACATCCTAGATGACTGCTATGTTGAAAATCTTTAACCTCAAGTCCTTAAAACAATCTCCATTTCCACCTACAGAGTAAGCATAATCACAAGGCTGGACTGCCAAAACTGTTAAACTGAAGGGGCTTTTTTTTTCTTTATGAAAGTTGAGCAAGAGTCAGTGATCAGGATCAGTTACATTCCCCATCCAGTACTCATACTGGACATGCTAGACACCCCTCCCATTCCGTTCACGCCCACAGATGCACGGCTTCCGCCACTGTAGTAGCTGTTGCTCACCGCTCCTTGGCTTCCTGCAAAGAGACCATGTGACAAGTCAGGAGCGATGTCGGAGCATCAGCCAAATTAAATACAGCATTCCAAGAAAAAGTGTAAAAGGTATACGAGTACAAATGGCTGCTGTCCAAGTGGCAGGAAGCACGTGTGGGAAAAGGGAGTCCCGACTCCAAGCAAGTCTCAATTAACCCTTTTTTTCTCTGCAGTACCAACTTGCCAGACTCTTGTGCTACCATTTAAATGGATTCTTCAGGATCAACGTAGAAAGTTAAGTTTAAAGGAAAACTAGTGTTTTTCAAAAATTGCAAAATTACTTCATTTTTAAAGCTAAGCAAGGCATTTTTTAAAAAAAAATTTACCATAAACATTCACAATGTGTCCACTGAATGGTATTTATGAATAGGGAACACAGGGGAACTCTTGCTCTTCCTATTCATGTGGGCAGGAAGTGAGACAAAGTTAAGCTAAAGGCAACTCACTGTGCCCAAAATGGCAGCCTCCATGGAGTTAAGTCAGAACCATTGACTGACTGCTATAGAAAGTGTTATTACAACATATCAGTATTTGCTATTGGGAATTTAAATTATATTTTTTGAGAAAATATTTACCTATGCAATGTTTGATTGAAAATCACTGGAGTTTTCCTGTAAAACTTGGTCTGCAAAAGGATTTTGTAGGGTAAGACTATAATACCAAAATCACCATTCTTTAGACCAATTGAAAAAAATTAAATAAAACCATCCCTAGGTTAACTGACTAGTAAATAATGGTCCTGAACCCAACCACCATTCTACTGTTTAAAAAAAAAAAATCTCCCATCAAAAATTGATTTAATGCTAGCCAAAAGACAGAAAAGGTGAATTACTTTAATGTAAATAAATGAAGGCAGATGTTTTCCAACTTGACGGTAATCCAAAATTGCAATGATTAAATTTTTAACTCACAGACTTCCCCCTCCCAATGATTGCTTCTGAAAATTAAGCTATTAAGAACAATTAGGATCAAAAGCATACAATAACTCAATTCACCAAAAAGGAGCCTGTATATTCCCAACTAAAGAAACCTACCTAAAACTTAGTTTGGACATATAAAAAACCATGCTTACCATATCCACTCATGCTGCTCTGGCCACCATAGCCGCCTCCATAACCACCACTCAGCTGCTGGCTGGCTGGGCCACCGTAACTGGACTGGTTTGCTGTTAAGTTAAAAGAACATCAGAGCCTTGCTCCTCACACAGTGTGGTACCTGGTGGTACCTGGCTTGCAACTCTAGGTCTATGGGTTCCAGTCTTGTTCTCTCGTTACTAAACCTCTGTCTCCTGCTATTGTCTATTAC